TTGGGACTTGTATCAGCTTAGAAGGAACTGTGAGTGCCTAGGACTCCTTCTCAAAGACGAAGTGTTTCAAAGCACAGGCTGGCTGATGTCCATGGAGACTGTATGCTTGCTTGGCTCTGAACTACATGCTGAGACTTGGGGAGGTTCCTTCTCTGTGTCTTGCAGGTTACCTATTTATTTAAATGTGCTATAAGTCTCATGTATTTACCAGGGAGAGAGAGAGAGGAAAAGTGAGGAAGCACCCTTCCCCCCCCCCAAGGCAGCATGGCCATGCCGTAAATCCTTCTCCTCCACTCTCCTCTTTGGATTTTGGGCATGCACATGCATGCACCTAGTGTGTTTCTCAAGCGCCCCGGGTCTGGGACATGAACTGTGCAGTCAGCTATGTGGGAATGAGCTGCCTTCACCACCACGTCACCTGCTATACTGACCCATCTCCGTCTGTCTCTCTCTTTCTCAAAGAAGGAAATAAAGAAATCTTTTTAAAAAATATATAAATTCTTTTATTTAACTTTATTTATTTATTTTAATTTGACCATAGAGGGACAGAGTGAGAGAGAAATAAAATGCAAGCTACCAGGTCTGGGACTCAAACCGTGGTTGGCCATGTGGGGGTCCAGTGCTCTTAACTACCACGCTACCTGCTGGCCCCAAATGAAGAAATTTTAAAATAAGAAATAAAATAAAATAAAATAAAATAATGCCAAGGATTGCTGACAGGCACTAGGAGCCAGGAGAGGCATGAAACAGATTCTCCTTCAGAGTCTCCAGAAGGAACCAGCCTTGTTGACATCTGGATTTCTTAATTTGGGACTTCTGGTCTCCTGAACCATGGGAGAATACATTTCTGTTGTTTTAAGCTACTTAACAGTTAAAATTAAGGCAGCCCTAGGAAACCATTCTATTTTTTTTTTTTAAAGAACCATTTATTTTGGGAACCAGCAGTTAGCGTAATGGCTATGTCGCGGGACTCCCACGTAGTCAACCGTGGTTCGTGTCCTGGACCCAGTGGCTTAAAACTCACGCCGGGCGCGTGTGCGTGCGTGCCCAAGATCCCGAGAGGAGAATGGAGGAGAAGAGATTGCGGCGTGACCATCCCCCCTGGGGGGTGATTTCTCGCTTTCTGTCTCTCTGTCTCTCTCTGTCTGTCTGGCGAGCGCACGCGCCCTACAGTGAAAATCTCTCCAAAAAAAAAAAAAGAAAGAACTATTTATTTTAATTTTATTTATTATTGTTACTTTTACATTTTCTATAGAGCACATGGGCTCACCAGAGTGAGAGACAAAGTGACAAAACAAGCCACCATGTGCAGAACTCAAACCAAGCTCGGCCTTAAGGGAGTCTAACACCTTAACCACCATGCCATCTGCCAGCTCTGGGAAACGAATACATGAACACTGGATTTTGTGCGGCTTATCTGCCCTGACAGGCCCACAATGGGAGGTCAATCAGGCACAGGTTTGTGAAAGTGAGGCGCAAACAGTGAAAGCTTTCTACGAACTGTATGGTGTTGCCCTGGGGAGATGCAATCTCCCTAAAGCTCACACATTAGTCCTGGGCTTTGAAACTCACAGTGTGAACAATGGAAGGTCTTATGCTTGCAGCTTCCAAAACGTGTGAAAGGTATTTATGATTCATTTTCTTTTTCTTTTCTTCTTCTTCTTTTTTTTGGAGAGGTTTTTCACTATAGGGCGAGTGCGCTCGCCAGACAGACAGAGAGAGACAGAGAGACAGAAAGCGAGAAATCACCCCCCCCCCAGGGGAGTTTTAAGCCACCGGGTCCAGGACTCGAACAGCGGTTGTCTACGTGGGAGTCCAGTGTCATAGCCATTACGCCAAATGCTGGTCCCGTGGCATGTTAATTAAGGCAGCTGGATCGCACATGGCCAACTGCATGGTTCAAGTCCCGGATCAGTGACTCGAGAAACACTGGGTGCTCATGATTGTGTATGTGTGACCAAAATCCAAAAAGGTCAGAGACATGGAAAGAGATTGCGGTGTGGCCGTTCCCCATAAAGGGTGCATTCTCTTGAGCACACGTGCTGTCTGGGGAATTAAAAGAAAATAAGGTACGATTAGAGACTAAGAATGGTTCCATAGAAGGTAAAGTTTGTAAAGATAATGTTGGGAGAGAATCCGGGGATCTCCAGGATCCGGGTGCCTGTTCCAGGGCGGTCGCAGCAGACATTCCAAGGTCCAGAAAAGGGGCGGGGCACAAGGTCTGAGGCCTACGCCGGGGGCGGGGCTACTGTTGAGGGGCGGGGTTTGCTTGGGAAGAAGACCCGGATAATGGAGCTCTGGGCGCAGATCCGTGACTGTTCACGCCCGTCCTGCGTGAGAGTGACGACCACCTGGTGGGTATGAAAAGCAGGCTGCGCTATAAGAGTCCGGAACCTACGAGCCTGGCCTGTGGAGCCCATGGGG